CCAGAGCCTAGGATGATTGTAGCACAGGGTCAGTGCTGGTGAAGGCTTCACTGAGGGCTAGCAGGACACGAGAAAGAGAAACCTGGGGTTTTATTATTATCAGGTCTTATTTGATAGTCTTTTAGTAACCAAAAGACTGAACTAAAATCCACACTTTAAAATTCAATCTGCCTCAAAGTCAGCCTGACTGGAAAAATACAGTCATGTAAAATGAAAGTAGACCCTCTTTCAATTTCAAGATTTAGGACATAATAACATAATAGCAAGTCTTAAAATGAGTAAAAGCAACCTGAGATGACCAACAATATATTATACTCTCATAATTTACAAAGAACTATAATAATAATCAAATAGATGTAGTTAAGTGTGACCACCTCTGTAAAAGCAGATGTTTTGGCAGTTTGCTGGTCTGGAGAGTTCATGTGTGTTTTAACACAAAGCTAAGAAGGTCTTAGGGAAGCAGTTATTGTTGCACATCAGTGTGGGAAAGGTTAGAAGGTCACTTCAAAACATTCTGAAGTCAGTCATTCTCCAGTGACAAAGATTATTCACAAGTTTAAAATATTCAAGACATCTTCCCAGGAGGGGACCAGTCAAAGTCCAGACCTGCATTTTGGCTCTGTTTTTGCTAACTGACATGATGCAGTATGCCATGTGTTACTGGTTTGATGTAGTGTTTACCTAAACTTTAACACCTGCTAAGGACCCGGTTAGGTTTATTATATAGATATCCAAAAGCTTACTTAGGTGTACTTTCTACCATTACCGTATGACTGATTTATATTTGATTTGTCTGTAACAAAAGTATAGTCCAGTTTACTGTTTCAGCATGTCTACACCTTTAAATCCATCCAGGCTCCTCTGAGACATGTTCATTCATGAAGATCTTTCATCAGACAACCTTCCAACAAACCAAAAATTGTTCTTTTTGTTGTTTTACAGCCAGAAGATGAGCAGCTACCACGGGGGCCAGGGCCAGAATTACCAGAGCAACTACAACCAGACTCAGTCTGGTTACTATGGCAGCCATAGTGGTGGAAGCCAGGGTTACTATTCTCAGTGGGGGGGCTACGACCAGTATGGTGGCTACAACAGTACCGGCTACAACAGCGGCTATGGCAGCGGCTACAACAGTGGCTACAACTACGGTTACGGAGCCTATGGATACCCACCACCAGGTCACATGATGCCACCACCTCCCATGGGGATGCCACCAATGTCCACAGACATGTCAGGAGCTGTAGAGGTAAGGGGAACACTTTCACACCAGTGCTTAAAGGAACCCTGACATTTCAGGAAGTTAGCAAAGCTTAGCAAAATGACTTTTAGCGTGAGAAACTGCTAACCTTTGCTAAAGAACAATCAGCTTCCTTCCAAAAGTTTAAGATTCTCATTTACATCATTTATCATGTTATATAGAATGTTCACAAGTAATTCATCCAAACACCAGCTCTCTTTACCCAGAATGGGCCAATTGAACAAAGCAGCTTCAGTGTAGACAGGACAAGTGACACTGCTGAGTTAACTGACTGCAAACTGTTGTCACTGCCAAGTGAAAATGTTCACTGAAACATGAAACATGTTCACTGTATACACCCAGTACACGTAGCACAGCTGACACATTGTCCATGTTTATATTGTGTTAATTAGTGCCATGTATTATCACATCCAGGCAGTTTTCAGATTTATTTCCATGTTTGAGAAAGTAGTTCTAATCCCTGATGTCATTCTGCAGCAGAGCCATGTGGAGGCTGAAGACATAGATGAGGATAATGCAGAAGGTAAGGCTGAGTCACATAACATTAGGGAAAAAAATCTATCCAGAGAAATGTCGGAGACACTCACAGAGTGGGGATTTGCATTGTTGTTTCTTTTTTCTAGAGCCCATTCCCGAGTGTGACGTCGACCTGTGGAACAAAGATTTCATGCAGCGCAGCGAGGAGCTCTACGATGCCATGATGAATTGTCACTGGGAGGCTCTGGACTCTGTTGACTCCCCCATCCCCTCATTCTCTTGATAATGTCTCCCCCCCCCCCTGAAATTTTTCATTTTTAAAAAACGTTTTTGGTTTTTTATCCCCAAAATCTTAACAACACACTGAAACCTTCTAGAGGCCAGCTTTCATTTCCTGTGTCAGTTCTCACTAAGACTGATAATACAAACACGTTCCTCTTTAAACACCTAAAATATTCACAGACTTGGCTGTAACATTTAGCATGTTAGCAACAAACAGCAGGTCAGTCATTATTCAGTGCTCTGTAGTTTATACCATCTGAGGTGCTGCAGCTGACCAGCGCTCAGAAGCTGTAGTACTGCAGACTTGAGTGTCATCCACCACCACTGAATTATGCCACTGAGGAACCAACTGTAGTTATTTGGTGATGGAATGACCAGCAGATGCACATTCAGCAACGTTGAGATTGACATCTGCAAACAAAAATGAAAACCATGCCTTTATTGTCTTTTGTCATGTACTTCCTGTGAGTCCAGGATGATCATTAGAATTGCTTTGTACATACACAGCATCGATCCTTCTCATCTTTTTTTTTTTTTTTTTTTTTTTTTTAATGAAGGAATTCCTGTCTTTTAGAAAAATTTCTGATAGATTATTGAACTCATTTAGGAAGAGTTGAAAACTGAGTTTACACCCTACAGAAAAACACATCAATTGGAAACGTTATCTGTTTTTCAAACAAGAAGCTCACAATCTTTCTATGTGCTAGATGAACGAGACAAACGCCCAACATGTTCGAGTGCTGTGAAAACTGTGTAAGGACTTTAACGGCTGATTTGATGTCAGACTTCGAGGCAGCCATCAACTGCTCTTTGATGGCTGAAGTTTTGTATATATTTTCTTTCTGGAGATGTTTTATCAATAAAATGAATTAAGGTGGAAAAATGTCTCTTGAGTTTGTCTTTACAGCCAATGCTGGAAGGAATGTATTAAAATATACAGCAATAATAAAAATGCTGTTATAAGTTCAGAAGACATTCAGTTGTCTTCTTAAACTATTTATTGTATACAGAAGATGGGCGAAGAAACATCGATATTACCCACTTTAAGTCATAATGTTACCAATATGGCTGCAGTAGTGTTGGTAACCGTATTTGGTGGTGTGATAAGTTATCAATAAATAGTAGTTTGCTGGGTTGCTACATCCATGAACTGTATAGGTGCATTTTGTTCTTGAAAAGCATAATATAAATAAATCTTACATATGTCAGGACACCTGTGAGTCACACAAGGTGGGCCAGTTAGAAAAACAATAGAAAAGAAATGTACCCTCTGTACAAGGAAGGAAACTTAACTAGAGGAATATAAGAGTTGGCTCCCGAGGTTGCCATTTGTTTTGGATCCACGGCTGGAGGCCTCAGTCGCCTTAATCTCTCTCTTCTGTCTTGTTTTTTGACCCAGTATTAACCATTTTTGAAGGGCTTATTGCGAAATTATCAGCGAGCAAGTGTAAGAATTTTACACACCTCTAACAATGAATAGGGGTGAATCCTAAGCCTTAGTATAATTTTAAACAGATACATATACATAAACCTACAAAGAGCAGTAAACACCAGAGCAGGTGATTACAGCCTGTACACAAAGAAAATCTACTGGCACTCTGAATAAAAATTGTGACTTCTTTATCCATCCTGCACCCCTATGCAGAGTGGAGCAGTTTATTTGGGCTGGCCTGTTAGAGCAGAGTGAAGCAGAAACCGGTTACACCCTAAGGGCCAAGGCCTGATCACCAGATTCTTTCCCCGGAGCTCTCTCCCAAGGCGTACGGAGCCCCGTAACCCTATTCCAGACAATGCTTTGTGCCATCGTTTTTTGTTCACCTGCCTGATTCCTTTGGCTTTGGTTATACTGAGCTTTGACTTTAAATTGCCTCACGTAAGCTTGTTTTAACCTCCAACAGTCCGAATGTTGTATTTAAGCCTTTACACCAAGTCAAGTTATTTTGACAGTTCTTTCCCTTTTTCACTCCCATCAAAGACTATTAAATATATTTTAGATAAAGTGATCATGCATTAGCACAAGTTAAAATCAAATAGAAGTTATATCTATTAAATGAGCACAAGATAAAAAAAAAAACTGTCAGCAGGAGAAATAAAGTCATGGAATTCAGAACTATGAACTCTCACTAACAGCCAGATGTTAGTGAGACTAGACTTTCTTCCAGTGAAAAACATTCCCTGTAAAAATGGCTTGGTTTAAAGTTTGCTTGGTCATCTGGTCTGATTTACTGCTACTGTTCATGTTTATACTATTCTACTTGTTAAAAATAACAAACAAGTAGCCTACAAATACTTTGTTCCTCTACTTAAGTAGAATTTTCAGGTATCTGTACTTCATTTGAGTATTAATTTTTTTCATTTTTTAAAAAAATTCTTTTTACTTTTACTCCCTACATTTTAACACAAATATCTATACTACCTACTCCTTACGTCTTCAAAACAGGCTCATTACTTTAGGTTCAACTGTATCATTTATAGCGATTATACTATTATTAAAGTATAAAAGTATAAAAGTGGGCGACACCAGTGATATTGTAGTCAGGAACTAGCTTGCGCTAAAGAGAAATGAGCACAAAGAGTGTAACATTTCTACACAACATAATTTTTCTACAACATTTCTATCAGCTCAACAAACATCACCAAAAACACAGACTGGAATTTACCATGTTTCACTGAGCAGTTCTTACCCTTAAACATAACCTCTCGTCTTCCTCTCCTGTCCTTTCTTTTCTTACATCTTTCTCCCTCTGTGAGTGAAGTTAACGCTCTTTCTTTTATCTCCCCAAAAAGAAAAAAAAACGTCAGCTGGAGCTTTGTCTAGCGACACATTCTGTAACAAACTGCACACAAAAATAATATTCAAAGGTTATCTGTGATTTTATCATTTTGAATCCATATTTTATCAGTATATGATGTATTTTGATAAAATATTTATTTTTTATACTGTGAAATGTCCTGAAAAACAAAATATACAAAACAGTATATATGACATCAAGGACCCATGGCACACAGCTTTGCAGGTACTTTATGTTTGTTTATGATATTTCCACGCATGGTCTCACAGCCTGGTTTTTTAACTTTTAACCCCAAAGTAGCCCCTACAGACTTGGTCAGCATCTGACAAAGCGTGGGGACAAGAACAAGAAGAACTGGAGCAAATGGTACTACTGTACCATGCACTAATTATGTGTTCATCAAATGTTTCATGAACATTCAGGGTAGTTATGTGCAGGATAAACAGGTTAGCTTGCATCAATCTGGTGAATTTACAGTAAAACACTGTGTTAGCCTGATACTCAGTGGCTGTAGTTGTCAGTGTTAGGTTACATGTAGTGTAGATGATGGATTTGCATTTAAGCTGATGATGCTTAGATTCATTCAATGAATGAATTCATCCACCTGTCTAGTATAAAGGCAACATCCAGTATACTGTTAGTGTAAGAAATGAAACTCCACCGAGATGGCTGTGAAACACATGTTGAAGTCAGTCGTTTAAATCCACAAAGAGCAGCAGCTAAGCTGATCACAATTTGTCTACTAATGCTCAAGCTTACATTCGAAATTATTGTGAGTGTTAGCATTTTCCCCACATTGAGCCAGTACAACAGATCTTAGTGTTCCCCCACTTGCCAAATCTCACTTTACATTCTTTAAAAGAAAAAATTATTTTACTTATTGTGTCCTAAACAACAGATTCAAGCTGGGTGCATTCATTGGAATTTAGATTTGACTAATATGTGTATTCTCATGTACTAATATCATTTTAATATTATATTAATATAGCGGCAGGTCCAGTTATCTATGCATAAAAATGGTTAGTAGAATTGTCCTTCAAGGAGCTGCTTTTCACTTTCTTTTTCTCTTGTACTTGAGTAAAGAAGTTTAATCACTACTCTTCAACTTTTACTGGAGTATTTTTTTAATGCAACTATTGTACGGTTACATTGTAACATCTCTGAGTGAGAGACTATCTCTCCACTTCATTACATATTCCATATGTACGGGCTGTGACGCCATGGCCAATGGGGGTCATACCCCGTACATATGGAATATGTAATGAAGTGGAGAGATAGTCTCGCTATGATAAAGAACTGCAGTTCTGCTTTAGAACAGAATGTCTATATTTTGCCACCTCTGGCTACAAGTGACAGGACTGTAGCTTTTGGCACTTCTTCATTGACTTGAAGTCCACAGGAAAAATCTGGACAAAACAGAAAGTGAGCAAACTCGACCAAATTAATGTCTCTGTAAATCTGCTTCTATGTTCTCCATTTGTCTTTCCAGTGCTGGGTTGATTTAGCTGTCACACAATTCTAGCTTTCAAAGGAAGAGCAGATGTGAATCATCGGTTGTACGTAACAGAAAAGGTAAATAAACATATTTGACATGAAAGAATTAAGAGGTCTGATAACCCACACTGTACATCTGTTTGTTTGGAATTCAATTTATTTTACAGTTAGTTCTCAAATGTTTGTTTCTTTGTTTTTTAAGTTAATTGCAGTGATCGTGATTCGTTTGTTTCAGTTGCGCATCCTCCACGTCATTACCGACAGCCTTTATGTTAAGTAGTCCCAAACCAGGCCTCCCGGGGCAGTACCAGCTGGGCCCCAGGCGGTACCAGCCCTGATATAGTCCTCTCCAGCTGAGACAGCCAAGAGCACCCCCCAGCAGCTGGGTGGGGAACTGAGGAAAGTAAGCTAAGAGACAGAGCAACAAGAAGATCCAGAGCCAGAGCAGGAGAACACAGAACAGAAAGAGGATTCTCAGTGGGGCATCTGAGATTCCCCCAAGGCTCAAATAAGGTCCAAACACAGCTGTTTCCTCTACCAGCAGCAGGCAGCAAAGGCAGAGAAGGAAAATGTCTTCAGAAACCTCATATCCCCTCCACAGCATTCCAGCTTTCAGACACTCAGACTTGCTCTCCCCCTCTCGCAGCACCAGCAGAGTCTGGCCATTTGTGACCACTGTTCCAGCTTCTAAAGGTTCATAGCAGCTTCCTGTGGCATTCTCCAGGAGGTCCAAGAGTTTGCAAAAACCAAGCCATAGTCCACCGGCCACCGCAAGCCGTGAGAGGTGGCGGATGGAGAGAGACAGGGAACGACGGACGGAAAAGGAGAGGAGGAAAACAAAAGAGCCAACAAAGATGCAGGTCCAACCCCAACCAGAGTGCAAGAACATCCTGGAAGAAGGAGAACAGAGATGAGAGCAGTGGAGATAGGACGTGATGGAAGAAGAAATTATATCGACTGAATATGAAATATCAAATATCAGGACAGGACAAAGTTGACAGGAAGTGTAACAGGAAGCAGTCTCACCTGTAGAGGAAGTGATTCTTCTTGGCAAAGATGCTGTGGTGAGACACCCAAAGACTCAGCATGGGACCGAACATCACCAGTGCTGACAACAACAGGTGGAAGTGCCGCCGGAACAAGGTGGTACCCATAAACCTGGCTGCCAGGTCTGTCAGGACTACAAGGACTGTGCTGAGGAACATTTGGACCAAAATGCTGACTGAATTTCAAATAATATACAAAAGCCACCTGCTGCTCGCTGTGTTTGTGCAGATTATCCACCTCAGACCCAACAGTGTTCACTGTTTCAAGTGATGAATCTTTAATCCTCTACAGAATGCATGTAACGCTAACCACACATTACATTTGCAGAAGAATTCAAGAAGAAACAAGAAGAATTCACCATCTTATGTAGTCCAGGAGATAGTAGCAATGACCAGACAAATGCAAATGCACAATAAAGTCACTGAATTTAGGGAAACAAACTGCAGTTTTCAAAGATTAGATCCATTGGAGCATGATTATTAATGATGATTGATCCTCCAGAAATCCACTGTTGCTTAGGGGTGTGATAAAAGTCCACTAATGTTAGCTGCTGTGACGTTAGTATTTACTTCCAGAGGTATGTATGAATGAATTGACAACTGGCGTTTGACAACCCATGAAATCCAGCCCTAAAATTCTTCAGTCCAGCAGGCACTTCTACTGAGTCAGGGAAGTTTGCTGTTCTCCATTCACAGCTTTAGTTCAGAGCTGAGTGAGCTTATGTTGAAGAAGTTCTCTCCTTCCTGGTTTCCTGCCATGCGACTGTGAGACTGTGCGTTTGTCACTGGTCACGCCTGCGCTGATTCTTCAAAAATGCAGTGTCAACCCAGCTGTGACACTCAGAGACATCCCATAGTTGTAGCTCCAGAATACTCTTCTGCTATCTTCAGTGTAACAGTAGCTTCTCCCTCAGTGCTCTTGTCATTCACAACCACCCAATATGTACATAGTGTGCTCTTACAAGTGTCACATTGCTCATATTGGAGTAGCTGAAGGTCGAACCACTGACATGGATTCCTTGACAGTAAAATGGATATCATAGGGTTTCAGATTATTCACATTAATGCAAAGCAAAGTTAAAGGGTGAGAGTAAACTGAGCAATGCTGACTTGAGCAGCGTCATGAACCAGAAGTGACATCAATTAAATTAAATGTGTCACATTATGTGTGTGTTTGTATGTGTCCTGGTGTATTAATAGCTATAACCTTTGTACTGTATCTGAGCTGAGGCTCAGCTGCTGTAGAAGTCTGTCTCTGTCAATCACTTGCTGTCCTTTCTTGCTCTCCGCTGTCTACTGTCATTCTGTTTCATTTAGTTTCTTTAATTGAGCCAAATTGACCAAGGCACTTCTGTCCTCTCAGCACCCAGTCACTTAAAGTCCACAGAGCTGTCTCTGTAACAATTTCTGTTATACACAGTGATCCTTCAGCTCTTAGTGGCTCTTACATCATACCAATAAATGGCACTATTATTATTATTATTGTTGTTATTGTTGTTGTTGTTGTTACGTTGTACTGTTGTGCTGTTTTAGCATGCTCTAAATAAGTCCAGTTTTTCTTATTTTTTTCTTATAATTTCATCTGCATTGGTTGTTATTAAGTCTAAGTTTTTGTTTACTTTTTAAATATATAGCTGTTTTGCTTTTTAGTCAGATTAATTTTCAGTTATATTCATACTACATATCAACTGTATGCCATTCTGTAAACTTCACTTTCATTTTAGCAGTCTCAGTGTTGTTGCATTAATTACTTACAGTCAATAGCTTTGTCTTCAATGTAGACTTCATAGAAAATTAGTTCTGATAAATTCAATATTTTGGGAAATACATTACATAACTGTAACCAGCATCTTATGAGCAGGCTTTGTTGATGAAATCCATGACATGAAAGGATCTGAATCACACTTTTTGATACCTGACCAAGACTACATTTAGTGTGCTGAGTAAGTTACAAAACGTGTTTGTGTTCTAGGAGTATCGTTACAGGCCACAGTATTCCCCCTCTGTCTTTTTATGTCACTGTAACTCTTTCAGCATGTTCTTTTTTAAGCCCTTGTTCAAGATTGGTGCCTACTGTCAGTCCTGCCTCCTGTACTGAACCAATGGTCCAGTGCAATCCTCTAATGAAGCTGGACAGCCTATGTCAAGACAACACTAATGCATCATTAAGATTAGTCTGCTAGAAGCAATGAATAGTGGATAAGCTCCGATGAATGGATAAACAATTAAAATAGAAAGCTTCAACTATATATAAAACTATAAAACTATAGTTTTATAGTTTTTGCATGAAAAAAATGATGAGAACTCAATCAGCCACTGAAATATGTTCAGTATTTTTATTTACTCTCATTGTATTACCTAAATTAATGTCTCTATTAGTGTGTGTGTTTCTGTGTTATGTGTTGTTACACTGTAACACCGTCTGATTTACAGGTGTATAATTTTACACAGACTGCCGCATCTCTCTGCACTGTTCAATATTTTGGCTAATGTACATATTCAGCATGAACAAATATGAGTGAATAATTGAAAAATACTTTATCTGAGATGTGGCAAATTCTTTTGTTACAGCAGTTGAAATGATGATGAAATCAGGTTCATCTTCCTTTAACTTATTATTTGACCATTCATCTGCATTGTTACTTCTATCCCGAGCAGCTCCACCATCGTGAGATGAAGAAGAGTTTGAGATTCTTTTTCCACATGATTGCAAACAACAACGTTTGTAAGACTCAGTGGCGCAGTCTGTAGCGCAACAGCACTCCCAAGAGCAATACGGAGACCCTCTGTGCTTGGATTTCATTATTGTAGTGCTGCTGACATCTACAGGAAAAGTTTTTTTTTACTTGAAAGAATCCCCCACCCCACGCGTCTTAAAAAAATGTGGATTATTGAGAGTCAATGAGAACCATTATCTTGTTGTTAGAGCTACGCTTTTTTAATATTCAGTTTGGAGAACTGGAGTTTTGACTGTAGAACGATCTGTTGAAGGCTATTTTATATTTGAATATGCATTATTGGACAATCAACATTAGCCTAAAATTAAATATGGAGAAATGTTGTTTTGAGACTGTCATGGTCCATCTATTTATACAGAGCCAAAGCACAGCAACAGTCTCCTCAAGGGGCTTTATATTGTAAGGTAGACCCTACAATAATACATACATATTTTTTTTTATGTCCTTGTTTAAACATGTGCTGTGGTGTGGTCTCACTTTGCTTGTGACTTCTTCATGTTTAGAAATATAATGGATAAAAAAAACACATTATATATAATAATGCAAAGCACAATCTCATAATAGGTTGGGAGCATGCTTGTGTTATGAACTCCCTGCCTCCACATGCTCATGTGATCGACCAGTGGACAGGTACATTTATATATCGTTAGCTTCATAGCATAAGTGCCTAAGTCATTTTTTTGTGTTTTGTGTTTCAGACGGACAGGATGATGCAGCAGTGGTAGGGGAGTAAAGTTAGGCAAAAATCTCAATTTGACCAAAAAATGACTTAGGCACTTATGCTATGAAGCTAACGATATAATA